AGTGAGCAGCTCTGGGAGCAGCGTGGCCCTGCGTGTCCTGGGGGCACTCGGCGTGCTGGGTGCCGCTGCGGTCCCCGCTGCTGGCCGGCTGCGCGCCCTCCCGGGCGGCTTCTCACCTGGAGCGGCGCGGTGCGCTCGTCTCTTTCCAGCTCCTCAACACAGCAGAGGTTTCTGATTTTGATCAAGTCCAGTCCATCCATTTTTCTTTGATGGGACTCCTTTGTGTTTTTCCTGAGAGTTTTATAGTTTCACATTTTACGGTTAAGTCTCTAACCTGTGCCCAGGTGAAGCTTGTGTAAACGTGGGGTTGTGGTTGTTTTTGTTATTTTCGTTTTTTACCTAAAAGTGCTCGAGGGCTCCAGCTCCAGGGGTGGTCAGGCTGCTGCCTTCTCGAGCTGCGTATGCCTTCGCCAGCGCCAGGGGGCGTCCCTGTTCCTGGGCCTCCCTTCGCTGTCCTGATCTGAGGACGCACCGTCACCGCTTCTCTCCGAGTCTCCAGGTCTGTCCGTGCCGTCCCTGCAGCTTCTTCCCCCTCGGAACTGCTGAGCTCGTCTGGTCCTTCGATGTTCCACGCGAATGTTCGAGCCACCTGCTGGCTGCCGATTGGCGCGAATCTGCGTGCTCACCGTGGCCTCCAGTCTGTGGACACGGCCCTGCACGTTTGATCAGATCTGTCCCTCCGTGTGTGTTCTCACGTCAGCACGCATGTTGTTTCAGCGTGGCTTACTGTTTAACGTTACTATCACACAGGAGCGGCCGACTTCTTTACTGTTCCTCTGTATCCTGCAACCTTGCTAAAGGTACCTGCTTCTGTGAGGGTTTTCTCTCTGTATCTGGTTGATGCCTTCAGCTTTCCACATAGACATTCTGCTGTCTATAAACTGGGTCAGTTCTGTGTCTTGTTCTCTAAGTGGGGTACCCTGGGTCTCTCCCTTGACCCCTACTCTGGTGATGGGCTCTGTTACAGCGACGAGGTGGACAGGATGGGCATCTGCCTGGTTCCAGGCCCTGGAACCACTCAGTCTTCACCATGGAGAATGGTGTTTGCTGAAGGTTTCTCGAGGTGTCTTTTTAAAAAAAATTTTATTTTAGAGAGGAAGGGAGAGAGAGAGAAACATCAATGTGAGAGAGAAACAGTGATTGGCTGCCTCCTACATGCCCCCTACTGGGGATCGAGCCTACAACTTGGGCATGTGCCCTGACCAGGAATTGAACCGAGACCTCTCAGTCCGTGGGATGACGCTCAGTCCACTGAGCCACATCTAGTTGTCTTGACCATGATGTGCAAGTTCCCATCTCTTCTCAATTTATCATGAATGGATGTTGAATTTTCTCAAGTCCTTTTTTCCCTTAAATTGATTGATAGGATCACGTGTTTTTTTCCTTTAGACTTTGCATACTGTGGACAACATTGGTTGGTTTGTCCGTGTTGAACAGCCTGACATTCTGAGATAGAACCTCCTTGGTCAGACTGTATTGTTCTTAGTGTGCATAACAGGTCCAGCCTGCTGATGTTATGCTGATGATTTTTGCATCCATGCTCAATCCTGAAGTGGTCTGGCCCAGTGTCAGCATGGTGCCGGCCTCCTGAAGGACCAGGGAGTGTCCTTTCTCCTCTGTGTGCTGTAGATTAGCAGTTTCTTCTTTAAAGTGTGCTCCCCGTAAAACCTCCTAGGCCTGGATCGTTCTGTTACAGAAGGTTTGAAGTTGGCAGTTTAACGTAGTCGTCAGTATTCAGGGTATGTATTTTGCCTTGGGTGAATTGGGGTGGGCTGTGGTTAGTTTTTTAATCCTCACCCGAGGACATTTTTCCATTTTTTGTTCAGATAGGGAGAGAGAGGAAGAGAGAGAGAGAAAAACATCCAGTGGCTGCCTCCCGCACGACCCAACCAGGGCCGGGGACAAACTGCAGCCAAGGTACGTGCCCTTATCGGGAACCGAACCCAGGTCTCTCGGGACCGCAGGCTGATGCACTAACCGCCAAGCCAGCCGACCAGGGCTGGGCTGTGGCTTTATCTGGGGTGGATGGGGTGCTCCATCCAGGCTGTCACATGTGTGGCACTGTTCCCGGGCTCCTTTGTTCGCATGGTCTGCAGGGGGACCTCCTACTGCTGGCGCTTTCTGTCTTCTCTCTGTTCTGTGCCAGGCTCGCTGGACGTTTTCAAACTAGTTGGTTTCTTTAAAAAAAAAAAAAAGGCCAATGTTTGGTTTCTTTCATTTTTCTTATTGTTTTTCTGCTTTTAATTTCATTGATTCCTGCTTTTACTATACCCTTCCTTCTGCTTGCCTTGAGTGTATTTTTCTCCTTTCCTCTCGTTTCTTAGGGTGGAGGCTTAGATTATGGGTTTGAGATCTTATTTTCTAATCCAAGCATGTCTCTGAGCCTGGCTTCATCTGCACCCCACAAATTCTGAGGCGCCATTTTCGTTTCCACCCAGTTGGAAGTACTCTCTCACTCCACTGGTCTTCCTCACACGGTCCCTCAGTGCTGCGCTGCCATGCGTGGACGCTGTCCTCTGTCTGCCCGACGTCTGCTGCACTTCCACTGTGGTCGTGAACACAGTGTATTGCTTCAGGTTTTAAAACTCGTTCAGGTGTGTTAACAGGAGCAGGTCTGTCTTGGAGAAGGCCATCTCTGTACCCGAGCAGAATTCCGGTGTAGGTGGGGGACCTGGTATGTGATGGAAAGTTTGGTCCTCTGCCCGGCTGCCCGGCTACCCTCCGTCCACTCTGCCCGAGACGCAGGAAGGCCTCCAAGCCTCTGCCGCATGCACTTGTCTGCTCTCCTTCCCGTTTTGGCGTTTTCTTCCCCGCGTAGCTTTTAAAGCTCGGCTTTTAGGAGCGAAACAAATAGGGGTGTGGGTCTTCTTGGTGAAGCAGCCCTTTGCATTGTTGCCTGTCCCCTTCCCTGTGGCCGCGTCCAGGCCTGGGCTCTGGAGTCTGCTGTGTGTGCTGATGCAGCCAGTCCAGCTCCGCCCGCCCGCCCTTCTTGCCAGCTGTGATCTTGGAAGGTGCTGACGACAGAGAAGGTCAGAAACAGTGCAGAGAGCTCCCTACATTGCGCCTCTCTTCTCTGGGTGTTCACAGCCCACGTTGCAGGCACCCCTGACCTCTGGCGCGTCACTGCTGGGTCGCCTGCAGCCCTGCTGCTCACCAGTACTGCCCGTCCAGGGCTCACGGGCCCAGTGTTGTCTCTGCGCCCTGTGCCTCTCTCTTTTTTCCACGACACCCTAGTGCTGGCCCGGCGGCTGGCCCGTGTGCGTCCTGCTGACAAGGGTTCCGGGTGTGGGGAGGGAGACCGCGGTGGAGAGCAGCTTCCTGTCGCATCTCCTGTGTTACACTGCACTGTCCGTGGGGGCCGGGCTGCGCTCATCACTGGGCTTGGCCGTCTCCCCACTAGACAGGCAGGCTGAGCGTCTGCTTCTGCCCTCACAAAGCCAAGAGACAGCCAGGTTCTCCAGGGTCAGTAGCAACTTACCTCCCTTCTCTTTGAGCCAGCCCCCAGAACCCGCCCTTAACGCCCCTGTTTCCAGCTCCGCGCAGAAGCCTTCCCGCCCCCCCGGCAGCCTGGGCTGCAGCCACAGCAAGACCACACATGGCTCTAGCAGGTGTGGTTCTCTCCACGCCGGGGTGCGGGCTGGCCCAGCGGCTGCACGGCTGTTTCTGGTGAGCGCTCTTCCCGGCGGGCAGAGGGCCCCTCCATGTCCTCTTAGGTCTCTGGTCTCTCAGGAGGACGCTGATCCCGACGCAAGGGCCCTCCCCTCATGACCACATGAATCCTGGTCACCTTCCACACCCCCCCCTGCACACCTCCTGCTGGGTGCGCAGGCTTCAGCACAGGTGGAGGCGGAGACATGCAGCCGTAGCAGAGCCCCCTCATGCGCACGCCCCAAGATGCTGCCGCCCACTCCACACTCCAGGCTCTGCTGAGGGTTTTGACGCTGCTGTTTAAGGACATGGTCACTGGTGTCTGCAGTGAACCTGACATGTCACTCAGCACTGGGGACCCCGAGTGGCCGTCTGAGCAGGGACGGAGACACCGGCCATGTCAGTGTGGCGTCAGCAGAGCTGAGCGGGCGATCAGGGCAGCTGGGGGGTGGGGATCGGGGGTCTGGGATCAGTGGTGGTCAGCCTGGACAGCAACGTCTGGGGCCGGAGCTTCTTTTCTAGCTGTGCCTCCAGTCCCCTGGCCCCTCCTCTCAGGCCCTCTGTCGCCTCCCCACGGCGCTGCCCGGCTCCTTCGAGCAGCTCAGCGGAGGCACCCTCTCCTTGCGGGAGTTCTCCAGGTGTGTCCCTTGTAGCTGCCTCAGACAAGATAAGAACCACCTCTTCTGGGTGGTTTCTGCACATCCCCACCGCACACGCGTGCTTGCGCCGTCCCTCCCTCTCCTCCTCCCTCTTCTTCTCCCTCCACCAGTGACTTTGTCTGAAAAGGAACACCAGGACAAAGGGCCCGTTTTAAAATGCACCGACGAGTGTCGTTTGTGTGGTTTGTTCTCTGACAGCAGAATGGGTGTGCCGTTCTATCCCTGCATCTCAGCTACGTGCAGATGCTCACTCGAAGTTAGCCCTTGAGCACCCGGCTCAGCCTCCAGCATCGTGATGCCCTGTTTCACCAAGGGCCTCGCAGGGCCTCCCACCCAGCCTGTCCCTCTGGCACAGCCCTTCCCGCAGGGGTGACTTCCTGGAGGTGACCCCACCCTAGCTCACGGGACACCTCTGCTGGCCGCTGGCCCTCAGGGAAGGTCCTCCCCACCCTCTCCCAGAGCCTGTCCTGCTCCTCGTCCCATTTTGTGTTCTCTTGGGGTGTCCCCGTCGCTCAGCTTGGGCACTTGAGTGTTTTTTAAAATGTCCTCCATTGGCGGCATAGTTTCACGTGTGTGTGTTTGGGAACAGAGCCTACGGCTTCGTCTCGTGACCTTTCACCTTTCTTCTCCCAGAGGACAGGACTTGCCCTTGCGGCTCCGGCGGGTCCAGTCAGGGTCTTGCTCTCCTTGCAGGTTGAAGATTGAGGAGCTGGAAGGGGAGCGGAGTCGTTTGGAGGAAGATAAGAGGAAGCTGGAAGCACAGCTCGAGCATCTGACCCTGCAGGTGGGTGCCTTCCGCTGCCCAAGGGCCTCCCCAGAGCCCCAGAGCGGAATCCTGCCCACGCTGCGCTGTCCGGCCTGCTGTCCTCCAACTCCGTGGCCTCAGTGCCCGCATGTCTGCATCTGCGTCGCCTCGTGGTGTACCTGTGTGTGCGGAGGTCTTCTCGTGTGGTTTGGGTTTGAGTCCAAGCCCATCCCCCCATCGCAGTCGTGAAGTCGGACTGCTGTTTTTGCTGTTTATTGTACTTGTCTGTGTCTGTCCTCCTGTTTAAACCGTGCCGTGGCGGGAAGCCTGCGGGTTTGCGCTCACCTAGGTTTTGGACAGGCCATTGATTTTATCTTGACACCTATTAGAGGTGAATCAAACCTCGTTTTTATTACCAATTCCTGGGGATGGGGAAGTGACAGCTTTGATAAAGCCAGGTGCAGTGAGCCGCGGCCGGACTGTGTTCAGCTCTGGGACCTGTCAGCTCACACCGGTTAATTGGGCCACAGTCCTCAGTTGCAGAGCTGGGCTGTTGGCAGGTGAATCTCTGGCCGCCCGCCGGCCGCTCACCCATCAGCGTCAGCAGTGCCGTGTCAGGTGGGTGGGTGACATTCTCTGGCCCTTGAATCCTGCACGGCCGGAGGTCAGCTGATGACTCCCCGGGCCCCCGTGATCAGGCATCAGTGAGCCCGTTGCAGTCGCTCTTCCTCCTGCTCTGGACGAGGGCGCCCCACGCACCAGCCTGCACAGGTCTGGTGCGCAGAGGCCCGGGTGCGGGTGGTGGCCAGGCGTTCTCAGTGGCAGAGGACAAGGAAGGTGGTCCTGGTGGCGGGAAGGTGGGGGTGCAGGTGACTGTCCGTGGAAACGGGATTCCGTGAGGGCGGTGTCGCAGCTGCAGGTGTGCGCTGGAGCCGCCGCCCCTTGGCTGGGAGGTTCAGGCAGTCAGGACTGGGCCGTCTGAGACCCAGTGTGTCCTCCATGAAATTGGGGGCAGCGGTGTCTGCATGGGGTTCTGGAGGAGCTAGACCACACCTGCCCACCACACCTGGACACAGTAGGTGCTGAGCAGATGCTGCATCATCTGGGCTGCTCCTGCCTTTTCCAGCAGGAGGCTGAGGCCTCCTGACCTGGGGAGCAGCAGGAGAGCCCCCGCCGTCCTGGCCGCAGCTCTGCGGTGCGGCCAGCCTCGCCCCTCTGTGCCGGCCTCAGCCGTGCCACCCCAGTGCGCCTGTGCGAGCACCTCCCCCTCCCTGCCTCTGGAGGAGTCTTCAAGGAAGATTGATGGACACCAGCTGCGGTCTGACATAATTGGGAACATGTGTGGAGAGGGCGCTCACCAGTCAGAACTTCTTGTAATTAGTTCCCAGCTGGGTGGAGAGGCACCGGCTCCAGCGACAGCTCAGGGCGGTGCTCACGGCGCCTGTCCCGGCCGTGGGCCTCTGGCGGCTCCCTGAGGGGTGTGTGGCCTGTGCTGGTCTCCTCGAGGGTGCTCAGCTGCTCCCACTCCTCTGGGGCAACCTGAGTGCTTTTCTGATGTGGCTAAGGAGACAGGCCCTCCCACCAGCCCTCAGAACGATGTGGGGAACTGAGGCCCAGTTAGCCAGCCCAGGAGTGACTAACTCAGACACCCCTTTTGTCGAGGCACAGTGGGGTTTGAACATGTCCTCGGATGCAGTGAGCTAGCGCAAGCCGCCTGGAGCCGTGGTCCCGAAGCAGACAGCTCTGCTTCCGCAGGACTCGGGGGCTCTGGGAAGCGGACCGTCCGCGTGACTCGTGGAAACATGGGGAACATTCCTTGTGCCCCACACCTAACCCCCACCCCAGCCCTGTAGCCTCCCACCCACCAGCCTTTCCCAGCAGCCTGTCCTCTGGCTCCAGGTGTCTCAGGCCAGTGGCTGGGAGGGTGACTGGCCTCAGTTTCCCAAAAGCAGGAAAATTGTTGCAAAACAGCAGGAGGAGGGCGGGGCATGGCGACGGCTCTGTCCCTCCCTAGCCGTGCCCTGGGCTGCGTCGGTCCGCCAGAGTGGGTGTCACTCCCCATGGGCCCCGAGGAGAGCACAGCACAGCTCCCCCAGCACCTCCTGGGCCGAGAGTAGACACCAGCGCCTGCGCCACGCCCGCTGCGAGGACGGCACGCGTGGTTTTGTCTGTTTCTTATGGGCCACATTCGGGGCCAGCCAAGGCCAAGCCCCTGGAGCACGGATGTGTCCGTCCCCAGGGCCAGCCGTCAGGCAGCTGGAGCGCACGGGCCGCCAGGTTCCGGCTCTGCGCCCATGTGGAGCCCCCCCCCCCAGGTCTGCCCCAGCGCCTCGCGGACGTTCTCTAACTCCTGCAGAGTGGGAAGAGTCACGTGAACACCCACATACCCACCGTCGGAACCTGTCACACGTTCCGCTGTGACGTGTCCATCCACCTCTCCCATCCACCATCCTTTCTCATTGTCCTTATGCATTTTATTTTTTTATTTTTTTATTTTTTTTTTATCCTCACCCGAGGACATTTGTCCATTTTTTGTTCAGGTAGAGTGGGAGGGAGAGAGAGGAAGAGAGAAAGAGAGAGAAACATCGATGTGAAAGGGACACATCGAGTGGCTGCCACCCGCACAACCGACCAGGGCCGGGGACAAACTGCAAGCGAGGTACATGCCCTTAGCGGGAACCGAACCCGGGTCTCAGGACCGCAGGCCGACGCTCTAACCGCTGAGCCAAACCGGCCAGGGCTTCTTATGCATTTTAAAGCAAATCACAGCCATCTGTGCCCTTCCCTGTGAATGCTTCAGCACGCGTATGATTGAACGGGGTCTGTCTCAGGAGTCCGCGCCCGCTGTCCCTCAGTGCTGTCCGGCCACGCTGCTTGCGCGGGGGCTGGTGGTCTGTGTGGGCGCCGCGTGGCCACCGCCCGCGCGGAAGCCTGCCGCCCCAGCCAGCCTGCAGTGCACTCGGGAAGGGGAGCAGCCTGCAGCCCAGTGACATTTTAAATCAATGGGACTTTTTGGGAAATGGAGTGGGTAGAAAATTGCTGGGTTCCCTGTGAGCGGAGAGCTCGCAGTGCCCGTGTCCCACTCCTGTCCCTGCGTCACCGGGCGGGCAGCACTGTGTGATCACACACTCCCCAGCCCCCGTCGCCTCCCCTGATCTCAAGTACGGGGGCCTTTGCCGCTCCTCACACTTGGTCACGGGGAGCCCCTGCCGGTCCCTGTCACACAGCCTGCCACCCCACAGGCAGACCTGTCAGCCCTTGAACACCAGTTTCCTCCCCACCCACCTGCTCCCACCTGCCAGGAGCCCCGAGCCCCAAACAGGCCCCACCTCTGCCTCTCACCCCTCTGGGCTCCGATGGTTCTGTGGATCCTCCCACGCGGACCAGGCCCTTGCACACATCCTGCCCCTGGCTAGACAGGCTATTTCTTGATGGTCTGCCGCCTGCACTTCTGGAATGTTCTCTGGGCATTGCTCCTGGAGAGGCAGAGGCCTTCAGGCAGTGGTGCCAGGCACCGCCCAGGTGTGGGTGAGCCAGAGGTGATTCTGGTGGGAGATTATGTTCCCCGAGCGAGGAGGGCTCGAACCCGGGGCCCGCTGTAACTCTGAGGGTGTCTCCTCGTGGCGGCTGGCCCTGGGGCACCAGGGTGCTCAGCGGGCAGTGGCCGTGCCTGGCTTTCTGTGCTGAGGGCCCGCCCTCCCAGCCCTGCGTCCTGGCTGCCCAGCCGAGGACCCCGGGGCTGTGTGCAGCCAGGCCTGCCGTCTTGAGTGTTGTGTGTAAAACAGGGCACTAACGAAGGAAAGAGCCCAAACCCCCACCGAGGTGGTGCCAGGCTGCTCATGTTTATTAACGCAGGACTGAAAAAAGCAGCTCGCTGATGCGCGTTTGTGTGCAGAAATTTCCACAGGCGCTGATTTCTTTTGATTTTTATGAGAAGAGTCACGTGTCTTGAATATTAAGCCCCTTCTCGTCTCATGTCCCTGGGCCCAGAGCGGGGCAGCCGGCATCTCCTGTCCTCGGACCCCAGCCCTCGTGCCCACGGAGCGGCTCCCCGGCGGCCTCCCCCTTTGACTGCAGGACGCTGCCCAGCCCGTCTCTGCCCTGCTGCCCTCGGACCCCAGGAGCACGCGGCGCAGCCAGCGAGCCATCGCCAGCGTGGGCGGCTCGGGCCTGGGCGTCTGCTCTGCTCGCGCTGGGCGTCCGGGACTGCGCTGTGACACCTTCCTCCTCTGCGTATGGTTCTCGCACAGCATTTAGACGAAAAAGTCCGGGACTCGACACTTCACTGACCTAGAAATTAGATGTGATGCAAGACAACATGTAGTTGTCAGTTTTAGGCAGAGGTCCCAGGAGCAGAGCCCTTTTGTCCCTGCAGGGTGCCCCTGGCCGCCGGCTGGCCCTGCCCTTCCCGTGAGGCAGCTCACTGCCACGGCCCTGTGTGGGCTCCAGGTGGTGGGCTAGGCAGCCAGGCCCCAACTGCGTGAGCTTGTGCTCTGGGCAGAGACAGCGGGAGGGACGGATGGCGCAGACCAGTCAGTGGGGCTGGAGAGGAAGGGAGCGGCTGTGGGAGGGGCCCGGAGCAGCCTGAGGGCCTCTGGCGCCTGTGCTCCTGGTCTCCTGCTCAGAGCCTCGGGCTCCATGAGCCTGTGCCGGCTGTTCTGTGCCCACATCTGCTTCCTGGAGGTGCGATCCCACTGTTCTGCGAAGAATTCCCGCCAGCTGGTACCGTGGACCTGCGAGGAACAGGGCGTGAAGGCTCTGGCCCCCAGGGCTGACCTTGTGGGGGACGCTGAGCTTCTGGAGGGCCTGACAAGAGGAAGTCTGACCCATTGCACGGCGACTCCTGGAGAGAGGCTGTGTGGAGGCTTCACAGGCAGACACCGAAGTCTGAAAGAGCTGTCTGGAGGGGTCCCCAGGATGGCCCCCACAGGTGCTGGCCCCCGAGGGCGGGAGGTGGGTCTGGGACAGCAGCCCACACCCACTGGCAGGCGGGTGGAGGCGCACACGGGGCCCACCAGATGGTGGGCTGCACTCCGCCC